AACATGTGTCAACATCTTATGCCTCAGGTGGAGATCTGCACATGACCCAGTCGAGCAGCTTGCAGCTTTCAGAAGATGTGTGATGGTGCTTTCAAGTTGAGGCAGGAGAGTGTCCAAACGACTTGGTCGTCTCATGGCGGTGATGCCGGCACCCTGTTGGCAGCGTATCTGGCATGTCGTCGAGTCGTGGTTGGACATAAAGAAACTCTCAGGCTTTTCCACTTTCTTGGCTTCATTCTCAGCCTGCTGAAGCGCTCGCGTAGCCAAGAGGAGACATGAGGCATGAGGTCAGAAGACGTCCCATTCAACGTCTCCAGGCACAGCATGCCTTTGGGCGATGTGCTACATTCGTGACTTTGCGGCATGACAGAAGCATTTGCAAAGCATCACTTGCGTCGTGCTGCCATGCGCCGACAATGCGCCGCACGTGTACATGTCTGCTTCTCTGAGCATTCTCTGCATTCTGTGGCATGAGGACCGCTTGTCTTTGTCCTTCCGCTGTACCTGTTAAGGGGCGCGCTGATGAATGCAAGAGGCCGGACATAAAGCAGACGAGCGGATCTGGACCACGTCAGCATGTTTCCCAATTGTCTCAATGACGCTACCTGCCATGCCAGGTCCGATTGTTCGTTCGATAGTCATGGACTTGGTGACCTCTGATCCTGCTCAGCAATAATCCTGTTCCAGGTCAGGATTTTCATCGTATTGCAAGCGCTGTTCACCAAATTCCCTGAAACATGAGCTGTGGCTTTGTCGCGAGGGTTGGGGTGTGATGGGGTCTGTGCTCGAGGGAGCCTTTTGCTCGTAAACGACCTTGTCTGACTTATCTCATTATTTCTCTTTCCCTGTCCCTCTCGCACTCTCTCACTGACTCTGTCAGAGTGGCACGAACAGGACATGCGTTCCTGCCTGTGCGTTTTCAGGATCTTCGTGGAAGATGGAACTCCATCCAGTCCCTGTCTGGGTTCACATGGTCTGGCAGTGCTGCTTTAGGCAGCGAACTTGCCAACAGTGAGCGTGCCAGTGAGCTTGGCAGCCGCGGAATCATGATCTTCATGGTGCCTGAAGGGGGCTACTTGGCCGACTCTGCCGGTGATTATCGATTCACCTTCGTCGCAAATCGGCTCAGCATGTATGGGCATTCTCGGAAGCTGACCAGAATTTTATGCTCTCTCACATGCCGGCAAGCTTTGTTGAGGTCACGGCTTTGATCTACACAGTCTCGTTCTTCATTGGCTTGTGCTTTGCTTACGCCCGCTTGTTCTCAAAAGACAGCATGCATGATGCCACATGAGCACTGCAGATGAGCGAGTCCCATTCGCGTCGTTCCAGGCCTCTTTATTTCATCTATCCATCCGAGAAGGCGTGGATATGTGCACGTGAATTGAATACCCGTTGTCTTTCAGTTGGTAGTTTCAACTTGCAGCTTTATTGTGGTTTGGGCTGGTGACTGATTGTTTGACTCCTGGTCGATGGTAACGTCCATGTGACCAACACATCCAGATCGGTTTGCGTGGAGCATCGTTGCTGGAACGATGATTCTGTCGATGCTAGTCGTTTTAGTCCCTTCTGCATCACTTTGCCATGTGCTGGCTGTGTTTTGAACACCTCCGAATATTTCCTTGCGTCACCAACGTGATTGGCATAAAGACATCGCGGTTGCTCATCGTGGTTGCTGCTGCGACGTCAGCAGGTCAAAAGTACAGTGCTGCGCCATTGCTTCAAGGCTGCATCGATAGCCAGAGCTGGCCAAGGGTAGCAGTGCACATTGCCACTGCTGCCGTACCGTAGAGGCTGTGGGCTAACGATCCCGAGGTCCCGCAATATAAGCTTGTTCACAAAGGACATTTTCAAGCTTTTAAGTGTTTCCACATTTCGTGCGAAAGGGTTTTGCAAACCCAGTGCTTTCGTCACAGAGGTCTTCTTAAGTCGAGGTGCGTTTTGTATTGGCATGCTATGCCGGCCGGCATTCTGCCGGCCATTTCGAAGTCCAGATTCACTCCTCCCGCTTTGCACAAGCTCGTGGCCGCATGCTGGGCTATTTGATTATCTGCATAAAAAAGATGTATGCTACCCCCCTTCCCCCTTCTAGAGTCTATCTTTTGCAAGCATAAATTGAAGGTTGGTCGGTCATATGTGCGAGTAAAAAGATGTTTGCTCACAGTATTCTCATTTCCCCGGGCCTACAGGACATGCTTACTTTCGCATCACCCGATGCGCTCGAATGCTTCCTAGTCTTATGGTTCGAGGCCAACCATCCTTCCTTTTCTGTATTTGAGTATGCAATTCACATACCCTATATGCATACATGATGTGGGGGCTTCTTTTACCTTTTCTGTGCATTTTTAAAGGAGGCAAGCCCTACATACTGAAAACATAGGCATAACCCTATGGGATAAAGGTTAAGTCATTCAAGCCTCGAGCCCTGTAGGGTTATAAGGTTCGAATCCTTAGGTTAATCTAAACCTTAAAGTCTTACTGTAAACATAGGCATAACCCTGTGGGATTTAACGTTTAGGGATTTAAGCCTCAAGCCTTGAACCTTATAGGGTTATAAGGTTCTAATCCAAAAGGTTAGTGCCCAGGGTGTAAACCCAAAAGGGCTAACCCCGTCAGGATTTTAGAGATAGACTTCGAAAAACCCTAAGCCTTTTACACCCTGTAGGGTTTGAACGTTGAACTGCCTAAACCTGAGGCTTAAATTTACTTTATGTGCACTTAGACCTAGGTCTGGACACTTATACCTTCAGCGCCTATAGGGGTTACAGCGTTTCAACCTTTTAGAGCCTTGTAGGGTTTTAGGGTTCTAATGCCCAAACCTTAGACCCTATAGGGTTCAAACCCTATAGACCCCTTATAGAGTTTAAGGGTTTAGATGCCCAAACTTGAGGCGAAAATTCTGATACTTGTTGTATGCATTTAAACCTAAGGTCTGGACATCTATACCTTCAGCACAGGGTTAAAGCCTTTCAACCTTTAGAGCCCTGTAGGGTCTTAGGGTTTTGACCCTCAAGGGTTTCGGGTTCAGGTTTGAATGCCTAAACCTTAAACCCTTGAGGCTTAAACTCAATGGCTTAGGTTTAAATGCCCAGTCTTCAACCCTAAACCTTTAAACCTTAATCCTCTTGGTTAAAGGTTAAGGGTTTAGGTTTAATTGCCGACTTAGGTTTGAATACTTAAATCTTAAACCCTAAACCTGTAAACCTTGACCCTATAGGGAGGAAAGGTTTAGGGTTTAAGGTTTACCCCTAAACCCTTTCGGCTTTAAGGTTTAGGGGTTAACCCCCACCTGACATCCTATTGTGGCTTCTCTTTAGAAACCCCACACCCTGAACCGATAGAAATTTTAGAGATAAGCCCTGAAAAGCCCTCAAAGAAATCAGGGGGCGGAGGGGAGCCGAGCGAAGGGGGGAGAACTTCTCGTGTGTCCTTTGCACGAGCAGTAGCGTTTCCAATGGGGCGCATGCAAGATTCGTCCGCAGTGGCTCAGGTGGGTGAGGTCAGGTGGGGTGAGTTGGGGTCGGGTGGAGGTGAACTGAAGTGAAGTGTGGTCGTCGTCGGTGTTGCAGCGTGACTTTTGGCAGTCAACTTCGTCCTTGAGCTCACCTCCGCCCTCCAATGCAAGGGCGAAACATTGTTGGACCACTATCGACAGCAAGCTTAAAGCCTTTCGGTGTGTCAATTCTGCTGGTGAGTTGCAAAAAGGACAAGACTCATGTGGGCGAAGTTTGCACGTACATTATTCGGCGGAGTGTCGCCGTTTTCACAGCATGCTGTGTTCTGACTGGCCAATACTGGCCAGGTTCCCGCTGCAAGCCCGCAAGCGAGGGACGTGTTGCGGCTTGGCTTGGCTTGACTTGGAGGTTGGCCTTGCGGTGCCTTCAGAAGGATCAGAGGTGGCACCTTGAACTCCGAGGCCTCCTGCAGGCCCTGGAACCACTGGAGCTGCTGCAGGCTTCATGCTTTCATGCTTTCATGCTTGCTGCATATTGCGGTACACACTGCATGGTCCTGCATGGTGATGGTCGAAGTTTGCTGCAACAGTCGAGGCTCGCGTGCTGGATGATCAGGGTTGCCTTCAAGAGGCGACCTGGACATACTTTGCACAATTGGCTAGCTTGAGGTGTTGTCTTCTTTGAAGAGAAAGGAACGTGTCGCCAAATCTTGTGTATGTATCTGCCGGGGCCTGCCCAGCGGCGAGGCAACCGAACCCGGAGATCGCGGGCCTGAAGGTGCTCTATGCTACCCAGACGCCTACGGCCCGAGGCCTCGGCGAACTTGTGTGCGATGCTTGGGCTGTATGCTTTCGCCATCTTGCTTGGGCAGGCGAGCCAGCCCAGTGAATCCGTCCGACATCCAGTACTTGCGCAGCGATGCTGACCTAAAACGAGGTGTGCTTGTTGCAGTTTGTTTGCTTTCTTGCTTGCTGGCGTGAATGCTTGCGCAGTTTACAAGTTGTACAATGTGCACAGCCTCCGTTGTACCTGTCAGAAGTTCACGAGTGTGAGCTTGATTCATTCGACGAGGTACCTGGGTTACACTTGCATCATGCTTTTGAGATCTTGCTATCTGCCGACTTTTCGAGCTTAGTGGCAGAGCTGATGCTTCGAACATGTCAGTGGTTCTGCAAATGATGACTGCTTTCGACCAGCCACACAAAGCCTGGCAATGTCAACTACACACATTATTTGCTAGGCAGCAGCGACTGACACCAGCGCAACAATGTTTAGTGCCGTCGGCAGGGTGAAGACACGTAACGTGCAACGTCTCGTATGCGGGGGCACCTTGACATCATTTAATCTTATCTTGGAACTGGGCTTGCTCCTCAGCTGATGCTTGGCAGTCTTGCCACCCATCTGCGCTGGGTGCTGTGCAGCTGGATTCTGCAGTTCTTGTTCCCTCTCTTCAGCATAGGTCCCACATGGCGTCTGGCAATCGATCCCCCCGACTTCAGCAGCCCGTGGTTGTGAGAGCCATGGGCCAAGCGTGTGGATGGGACCAGCTTGGCTAATACCTGGATTGCGAAGTGCTTGTATGCACCCCGCGTGGGTTCGAGCCTGTTCGAGTGGTAGAGAGCTGAGGCATCCTCGAATCTGGCTTCCGCAATACCCAAGGAGGCCATACATGGATTAGTCGGGAGTCTGTTCGCGCTGCCCAGCACTTTCGTGAATCTTGCATTGCAGGGCCGAGCTACTGGAAAGCAGTCTGAGCCCAGATCTCCTGTCTCATGTTGCAGATGGTAATCGGTATTTAGCAATCGCCGACATCCCTCGCACACGCTGGCAAAGGTCGATGCTTTCTCACTTTTTCGCGTCCAAGCACAACTCGCCATCGCCGGAGGCACGTCCAGTCTGGTCCTGCACTGTAGTCGCATTGCGTGCATGGTATGCATGGTAGTGCTTGCACAAAGGATCGCGTTCAAGCAAGCTTGGCGGACGTGGCAGATGGCGCTTGCAGGAGTTCTTTGTGAACAAAAGAGAAGGGCTTCAAGGTGGAGTGTAATGAGATTGGCAAGTTTGGAATCTGGAGGCGTTGCCGCCAATACCTGACCACTCGCAAGAGTTTGCAGATGACTTTTGTCCCAACCGCATGGCCCCACCAGCCGCTGGGACGATTCGTGGTTTTGTAAATGTTGAGTTAAGCGACAAGCGCCTAAGATTGGAAAGCATCTAAGCAAAAGCGGGAGCGACAAAGTTCCCAGCAGCCTCATCGTCTAAGTGGGGAACGGGAGTGACCAAGCACCCAAAAACCCCAAACCGCCTTGTTTCATCAAACGCGGCTGTCACGGACCAGCCATGGCCAAATTGGAGAATGCCTCACAAATGGTGTAAGGATCATCCTTAGCGCTACGCGCGGCGCCTCGACATGGGCCTGCTGAAACCCAGGCCTAAATGTGGGAGTGGCCCTGCGCGGCGCCTCGACATGGGCCTGCTGAAACCCAGGCCTAAATGTGGGAGTGGCCCTGATGCTCCCGGACACCTCTCGGGGGGGGGGGTACCCATTCCAGGCAAACAAGTACCAAACAAAGGGGAGAGGATCAGAGGTGGAGCATTGCTTTGTGCCCCCAAATACCCCTACGGCTGCTCTTGTTGAATAGCCCGGGCCCTTCCCCAATCCTTCCCCCGCCCCAGCTGATGCTGCTGATGCGCACGCATCATGAGTTTTTCGACCCATGCCTCGATTTCTGGTGCAGTTTTGGAGCATCACTGTTCGAATCTGGTGTCGCCAGAAAGATGCACATCATCGACGTCCCCATGATCCTGAGGAGAAACGAAGCGTCGCCAAGGGCCCTCATCGAGCCATGGACATTGATGATGCTCGCTTTGAGAGTTCGAGCAACAGAGCATCCACACACACACGCGAAAGGCATGTTATTCACAGTTTTGCAATATGTTGCAGTGTTTTTTGCACTTGCGAATGCTTCCGGCGCTCCACGACCCCGGCCCGGGCTGCTGGTGCGAAGCGAGGCCTTTAGAGTCCTTCAGAGGCTTGGAAAAACTTCAGGGTGGCGACAAAAAAAACAACAGAGGTGAGAGGCAAGTGAGAGGCAAATTCCACCTACGAAATTTCCCGCCGGTTTTTCTCCAGGGGCATAAACGCAGCAGGACGTAGTTGTCATGCCAGCAACTCCCGTTGATGTTGGGTATCACACGGATGGCTGATGCTTGCCGCCATGGCCTAGGCCCTAGCCTGTTCGTGTTCTGCAGGACACTGCATGCAAGCTCGCAGCGCCACAAGCCTTGCGCGAAGCAGCTGCTAGAAGGACCGACTCCGTACGCGGATGTCTGTTGAGTATGACAGGTGCTTTGCCCAGCATGACAGGCTTGCCACAAGCAGATCGACAGGAAACGTTGACCTGGATGGCACAGGTTTGTGCTGTATCGTGATCGTAGTCGTAGGCTTTGCGTTGCTGCCGTTTGTCCACGTTGCTTAGCGTTTGGCAGGCGTTCGAAGTCATGAGCTTTCCAGATACTTTGCTTTTTGATACAGCCGCGGGCTCGTGCTGAGAGCCACGCAGCACCAGCCTCCTGGCGAAGCAGAAGTGTGCAGCATCCAGGCTCTTGACGACATGAGGCACTGCTGCTGGATCGGTACTATGCCAGCCTACCCAAGGAGGTGCAGCCTTTGCTCATTTCTTAAGAATTGCCTTGTTTGAAAGATGAGAGTTGTTTCGTGTTTCCTGTTGTCACATGTTTTCTGTTGCCTGAGATTCTGTGAGGACTTCAATACAGCAGAGTCGCAAAGAAGGCTCCTTGCCGCTGCCGGGACCCCCAGAGCATCCCAGAACGTCAGAACCGAAGAACCGAGAGATCGGCCGAGTCCATGCTTGCAAGTCTGCAAGCAGCGCTCTGCGTACGGCTCCCTACACGGACTCATACGGCTCACATGGGCTCTCACATTTCAACGACGCTCCCCACAGTGCTCTGAATCTTATGCTCTCAATGAGTTTCTGCCAGTCTGGAAAGGTCTGTGTGGCGCTCAAGACGGGATCCAACGCAGAACCGCAGCTGCCGCTGCGACAGGCAAAATCTGGTTCCACTTGGGTCCAAGGAAATTTTGAGCGTTAGAGCTCAGAGTGAAGGATTTGCTTCAGAGTCTCAGTGCAGATCCTGAGATTGCATTCAGCAGGAAGCCGGAGACGGGTAAAGTCTGGGTACAGTACATGTGTACTATGGACACCCACATGGCCTCAACAGTCAGGTACCAAACATGCACCTCTGATCGTCATTGCTAGCTAGCTGTCTCACATAACATCTGGTATGGTCCTCCTTCCTCAAAGCCTGTTTGGAGTTTACTTCGAGGCATGCCGAGTCAACATCTGATCAGGTAGTTGCGCACCTTGGACACGACGAGGTGGCGAGCTGTGGACTTGAGCGCCTGCTTTGAGGTTTAAGTTCTTGGCAGCCGCGTGTTCGTGATAATCGGCAGGTTCCCTTTGACGACGTTATTGCTGCTGAGCTTATCATCCTCAGAAAGCTGAGGCTAGTTCAGCACCTAATGTGCGCAGATGTGCGCATGCCGGGTCTGCCTTGATCATCTTCGGCAGGTTTGATGTGGGCACGCCAACTTCCCGAGATTTCTTGGAAGTGCGGCGTCCAGCATGCCTGAACTAGAAAACTATGCAGCTTATGACATCTTGTGGCAAGCTCTGTGTGAGGCTCTTGGTGCCAGGCTGAGCAACTTCCAAGTGTCGAGAGCTGAATCTTGAGGTCGTCACATAGCTTGCGTGTTTGTCCTGCGGCATACGCAGATGTTCGGCGTCGGCAAAGGCCTGATCGAGTCCACAGTTTAGCAGACTTCTTGTTTGCGCCTGAGTTACAGCTGTCCCGCGGCTCACGAAACTGCAGCATACTTACTGCACCTACTCATCTGTAGGAGGCTGAAGCAATGCGAAACAAAGCGGAGCATGTCCGCTCGAATATGTAGAGCCTTCTTATCCATAGCCATAGTTATCATGGTTGCGGCGCATTATGGCTCAGTATCTCTAAGGTTGCAGCTGTCCTTGGCAGATGCAGGTCTGCATTACAGGCATGATGGGAGATAATTGCTGTGGACTTTTGATAGTACATTGCTCCTGGTGACTCCTTTGCTTTGACAGATACCCACACTCCATGCTGGCTGCGGCGGCGTTGCTTGTAGCTCTCTCGGTCACCCGTGCTCCTGCAGCCGCGCGGGCAGAGACCCTGGCTTGTGCTTGTGTCTCAGCCCCTTGCAGTGCCCCAGTTCGTTTCGTGGCAGGCGGTACTGGAGGATTTGGAGTTGCACTTTCCAGAGGCCGTCTCCGTCGTTGAGCACAGCCGTGGTGTTCTGCCGTGGTGCAGACTTGCCCCCCATTGCCCCCCCTCACACATGGAGCGACTCCGAGCAAGGCAGTGGACCATCACGCCATCTTGGCCTGGCTCTCGGGGCCTCATGTGACTGCAATCTTGGCAAAGAAGGGAACTGCCTGCAATCAAAGGCCCATTGCGGTCGCGACTTGCAATCACTCTGGCTAATGGCCTTTGCCAATCAGGAGAACATGTGCCCTACTCCAGTGTTGCAGCACGGTCAAACCCCAAGTCAACTTTCCCCAAGGTTTTTCTGCAAGTTGTGTTTGCTTCCCAATTCTACCATGTCGGCGAAAATTCTGCAAGCCTGGGGTGGGTCCAGCCTGGGAAATTTTGGGAGCTGGGAAGGTATCTGAATCACATCCGCCTCAAGTTCTCGCGTGCCAGCTATCGTTCAGGCACTCGAGCGCCAAGAGGGAACTGCAGTAAGTCAGCGTCTGATTTTTTCATGTTGTGATTCTGCAGTTTCGATGACGCAGCCTCCAGTGGCTCCACTTTCGATTCTCCCACACATGGTTCAAGGCATGGCTGTGATGTCTTCGCGGGTGTGCAAAGGGTTTCTGTCATGTTCTGTCCCTCCGACTTTCATGTGCCTCAGCATTCTAAAGCCTCACCTGACCTGCCACCCTGGTGAAGGGGCTCCCGGGCGCTTCCCTGCAGAGGACGCGCCTGATTTTTTGTTGCTGTCAGCACCTACAGTGACCTACTGTCATTTCAACAGCAGTTTGTCAGTACAATACAGAAGGATCTGGTCTCTTGCTGCTGAGTTGAAAGGTTTTCTTCTAGGCTTTCATTACATGACCCGGCAGGTTGAGACATTGCTTGTGGCATTGTCTTTGATATTGTCTTCATGCCATTCGACGTATCTGTATAAAACTGAGGAGCTGGAAGAGGCTTTTGCCACTCAAGATGTCGACAATTCTGTTGGCATCTTAGGACGTTGTGCCAGTGAATGCCTGGAGAAGACTGAATCAACAGCCTGTTCAGAATCAGGCGAGTACACGGGTAGAAGGAAAGGCAAGAGACAGAAGCCCGCAAGGCTGAGGGAGGGAGCCAACGAGTGCAGGAACGAGCAGAACTGCACCCGCGTGCTCCGCACGAGGCGCGCGTATGTCTGCCGCGACTCCCCACCCCTGCCCGCGCCGCTGCGGGATGTCCTGCTGAGTCACTCCACCATTTCCGGACGAGCCGCCCCGTGTCCAATTGAAATACAGGGCCTACATTTTTGCGATTTGGGGTACTGCATGCTACCCCGCCCTAGAGGTTCAACCGCGTCCAGGTGATGGGTGTATTCATGGTGTTTGAGAACGAGTCCACTCTTTCCACAGCCCTACAGGGTCACTTCTTCGGTTCAATGCAATCGAGGTTTATCTGTTTCGTTATCCAACTCCGCCTTTTGAGGCCCTGCTACTTTTTTGTGTGCATGCACATAAAAAATAAGTAGTAGCACACACATTTTTGGGGGGAGAGGGTTCGCGATTCGGTGCACGTGTGTGTGTGTGTGTGTATTTGTATGTGGGCGCGCGGTGTGTGTGTGTGTGTGTGTGTGAGTATGTGTGTGTGTGTGCGTGTGTGCGAAAGGGGCGTGCTGTGTCGCTTGGGTACTCAACGCACCACAACACACAACCTCCACATCTTCTCTCTTGTTTGAGTTCCCGCAGTTTGACAGTACGTAGTGACACTACTGACGCCAAGGTCATGCTGCGAAAAACTGAGAGCGCGGCGAAGCAGGTACTTGACGAGCACTTGATGTGCCACTCAGTCCGCTGCATGTGGGAGATTCCAAGAGCCTTTGCGCTTAGTAAAGTATTTGGATTCAAGCAGGGACCTATCGCATGCTGCTTTCGTTGTGGACGAGCCTGGAATCTTCCAGATCCGCACGGCGGGCCTGGAGCTTGGATTTCTTTGGCACAGCTTCCGTGCATGACATGAATGACATCATTCCTTTCCCTGCTTGCTGCTGCGTGTTGTCGCACTTCTTACAGACCTGTAAGGCTCTGCACAGTCTGTGGGAGCCAGGTCGAGGTGCAGACTTTTGTTGCGCTTGTTGCATGCTTGTTGCATGTAATCTTGACGCAGTGCAGGTTGTTGATCCGGAGGCATCGCCCTGTCAGCTCTTCCTAATTCTGCGAAGAATTGACTAAAGTACTAGCTTGGACGTGTCAGCAGGCTGCTGGAGTACTTTTGCAGTTATGCCTTGATGCATTGCATTCATGTGCATCAGACACTTGTGCCAATGTTCGGGGGAGATGTGAGCAGTTGGTCATGTGAGACATGTGTTGAAAAGCCCCGGCCCCGTTCCTGTCCTCATAAACCGTGAGGTACGTGAGGGGGGGGGCCGATGTCGACTGGAGTTTGCTTGAATGGGTGCTGGGAAGTACATGCTCTGTTGACAATGAGCTACTGGAACAATAGCGAGTGCGCAATCTGCCTCTCTATACTAGGCTCGCGTCAATGGAGTTAAGTTCTCATCCACGAAGTATCCACTACTTGGGAGGGACATCCCAAGCTGCACGATGCATCGCAACTGCTCAGTCCTGAGATGTCATGCGCAAATTGTCAGTCCTCAATTCGATTTTGCTGAGGCAGTGGGCCATGGTGCTATCTGCGAGGTGCAGAACATTTTGGTTGCCTCCGCCTGAAACACGGCTCTACTCAGCTCGACTCACAGGCTCCGGTCCCTTTCGCATTCGTGGAAGGCGGGGAGACCCCTGGGGGGGGCCTCTTCGCTGTGTAGAAGAAGAAGATGAACAAGAATATATAATGTACACATATACACGTGATATTATATATATACATACCATGTGATTGGAAGTATCCGACAAGGGGCAGTTGAGGACATCTACGCCAACACACCCACACGTAACATTGCAGCGAATCGTGATCGTGTCAGGTCCGTGGCATTCTAGCTGGCCATGATCTGACCCAAAAGGAGAACGTGAGGCGCATTGCAGTTGAATGTGCGAGAGGCCCTGCCCTGACCAATTGACCAATGGGTGCACGATGGTGCTAAAGCCCAGGTACTAGGGCCCAGGTACGTTTGGAGGGTTTGTTCAGCTGTACTCAACAAGTCTTGTGTCACGCAGTGCCCCGCTTATCGCGCGGCAGCCGCTGCTCGCTGCGTGGATTGCCGTTTCCATGTATGGCCTCGTGTGCCAATGCCATCAGCAGAAGAGTATAGAAGATTCCTGTCTTCCTTGCGGGTCTGTAGGGGAGTTTCAAGGTCCATGTTGCGCTCCAGGTCTTTCGTGGCAAGAGCCACAAGGTTACCTCTAAGCATACCACACAAAGCATACCGCTGCAAACTGCTGCAAACCGCAGCAGCAACGACATCTCCCGATCCCTCTGCCGCTGCGCGATGGCGTGCGTGACTCAAGGAGCTGCAGATACAAGCCCCGCAAGTGCCTCAGTGTGACCGGAGAAAACAACAAAACATTTGTAGAGAACAGAAGCAACCCATAGAATCAACGGCATAGCTAGGCATGCTAAGGCAACATGAAAAACAAAGGGCCATCTGTAAAGTTAAAATGCTCTTCGTCACGCTGGGCTCTTATATAATTGGGGCCTCAGGACTCACGCGGCTGCTTGGCGGCGGCCCGCATCCAGTGAAAGGGAGAGTAGCGGAGTGAGCGGAGTGAGCATCGTGCCGTGCCCTTGCAGGCACGCGCTCTCAAGGCTGTTATGCCGGAGGCCGAAACATACTGTAAGTTTGTGCATGTGTTGAGCACCTGGGAGTCTTGGAGGCAAAGAAGCTCACTGGGGGTGATGTAGAAGGCCACGACTGGCTGCGCCCTCAGCTGATTGTGCGCCGAGATATTCGCATGCTTGAGTGCTGTCTCCTCTCGTACAGCTTGGGGCAGCCTATGTTGCCTTGCAAACGCAAGGGCGTTCGCGCCCACATGCAATCAATCAATCAGTCAGCTGATTGTGTTAGCAATCTGCATTCAGACGCTGTCATACGCTGTCATAGGTGGGAGAAGCATGAAGAGCTTCTAGACGAAGCTCGCAAAGAGCTAGGCCTGGAGCTGGTTTAGCATACCCGTGCTTGAGATTGAGGTCATTGCCGCCACTGCCAACGAAAACACGAGACTCCAACATTATAGAACTGGAGCATGTTCAGGGCCTTCCGCGATCTAGCTGGCGCTGTTGCACAAATTAGGGTGGAGATGAAGAGCGGACTAGACTAGCCAGAGCCCGTTTATTGTTTCGTGGCGGAGCCTCATGAATGGTCCGTCAGTCCTTCGTTAGCGCTCCCGATGCTGGTAGTCGTACTGTGCTGCCTTTAGGCTTTGGGGCATCTGACAACATCAGGGCGAGTTTGGGGAGGTTGCTTGTCGATGGCTACGCTCAGTCCGCAGCCCTATAGGCAACTTGCATCTTCCAAGGTCCGTACTAACTATCGCTTTCCTCCAACCAACTGGAATCTAGGGCAGTTTGTCAATTAGGAATCCAGGATGATCCTGGCAAACCAAGCCCTTGAAAGATGTCGTTCAGCCTTGAGAGCAGGGCCGCTCCACGAGGACGAGGGCTCTCCTTGCTGCGTTTCCGCGTTGTGCACTTCGGACGAACATATTGTCCTTCTTCTAATCGGAGTGCGCAGTCCGTAGTCCAAAGTCAGGATGCGTATTGCCTGTGCTCGAAAGGAACAGGACTCGCAAGACCCCAAGCCGGTGCTTGTTTTCCCGCTGAATGCCACATTGTTCGAAGAGTGTTCGAAGAGTGTTCGATGAGCCTGAGTGTGCCCTCGATCTTTCAGGAAACAGCGGACTGCCTCTCCCCAGCCTTGCGGCAGGTGGGACTTGGTCAAAGCAAGCGACAGCACTATTATGACAGCTGAAGGCTTTGGCAGACGGCTCCCCTTCGGCACTACGCTCGGAACTAACGGAGGCTTGCGGAGTCTGCAGTGGCTGCCTCTCATGCTTGCTGCTTCTAGAAAGTGTCCAGGTTTGCAGAGATGCGGAAGGCTATGCTGTGTACAGGCGCAGCCTTTAATCCGAAAGCTGTTTGGGATGCCTTGATCTGCTGCAGAGTTCATTCAGATTTCATTCAGTCCATCGTTCAAGTACGTGATGTACGTGGTGTTTTGTGGTTCAGGGAAAGAGTTCAGAAAACAGTCTGTGAATCAGAAACTGCGAATCGGAAATCGACACAGATCAGAAACTATCTGCATCAGAAAGGGGCGGGTAGGTGGGCGGAGGGGTTTGGGGTTTGAGGGCGGGTGGTTGGGAGGGTGGGGGGGAAGGCCTGGTTTCCGATTTTCTGTTTCTGGTTTCCGCCGGTTTCCGGTCTTTGCGTCCAGGTTTCAGATCTTTGCCTCAGACTGGTGCGATCGACTCCTGGCTGAGCTGGACCATCTCGAGGCGATCTGGGCAGCTGGTGGGAGTAGACTGAGTAGACTGAGTAGACAACTTGCGTGAGTGGCAGCGACGACAGCTTGGGTTGGGCAGCCATGCAAGGCAAGCGGCATTCCACTTCGTCGACCAAACGGCATGAATCGCTAGCAACTGAAGCACATGACATCACATGACATTGCGCTCGCAATCAAGTTCCTTGACAGCAGCTTTGCAGTCAGGTTACGGAGCCATTCTGTCACATTTGGGATTTCAAGAAGGACTTCTGCAGCCGTTGATGAGGCAATCGTTGTGCAACGGGTGTTCGACTCATGCTGCCCCATGCTGATTCTTGTTGGCAGGCTTGTGGTGAAGCCATTGGCGCGAGAGCTGTCCATGCCCAGTTCATCATACGGTGTTGAATGTCTTGAAGCTGTAGTGACTCAGTTCAATTCTGCAGCGGCCAGCTTAGTTTCCTCACGTGTTGCTCAGGTGGCCTGAATGGGTAGACCCAACAGACTGTGACGAAACCTACGGTTTCGTTGTCCGATACAGGAGCAGCCTTTTTCCCTAAGGGGGAGAACCATGCAATCCTTGATTGATGCAGGACTGGCGAAGATGTGGAGCTTGCCGAGCATGCAGATACTTCGAACGTGACTTTGAACGTGTGCCTGCTGGCTAATTGGGGACGATGCCGGGCATAGATGGGCACATCTTGAGTTCTCAGCTCGCAGTGCGTATGACCTATTATGGCCTATCATGGCCTTGTGTGTGGCCTTGTAAAAAATTGCTTCAGCTGCTGGCCCGCCCGAGGCCTAGGCAAAGATTTCACTGGAGGCGAGCTGTACTTCAAAGGAGCCTCACGCGATGTTACCGGCAAGACTCGGAAAACCGTTGCCCTATTGGTACTGTAAGTGCGCAGGAGTTCGCTTCACGCCGTCGCAGGACGATCCGCAGGACACCGATCACTCGCGGTGTTTCCAGAACACGTGCTGTTCAGAACATGTTCTGTCAGAATATACGCAGTCCATATGCAGTCCATAATATGTGGCCGAAGATGCCGCTGTTTGTTTTGAGAGAGGAGCACCCAGTCTCGCACATTCGGGGGTCCGTTGGAGGCCCAATGCAATGCAGCCTCTGAGCTTCCAGAGATGCTGCCAAGGCGCTTTCTGCAGAATGTTGCTTTCTTTAAGCTTTCCTTGTTGTCCGTAGCCGAGTGCCCAGGCTCTGATACACCTCGGGGGGCACTTTCACGGCTCCAGTCTTAGTCTCAACGCTACGCATCACTACGCTCTGGGTCAGTACCTCCTGAATCCATTCCTGCATTCTGTCGAATATCCTGACCTGACCCCTTGCATTTTGCAAAGCACGTCTTGGCCCGTCCATGCTATGGAATCTTATGACGCGTCCTAATATGAGCCTGAAAGACACAATTTCGAAACTCCCGGCCTCCAAGTCGACTCGTCTGCAAACGCATCTGGATAAGCCTGCCGAAGAAGAGCGCACCCTGCAAGTAGCCACATCAGCTTTGGGACCTTGGCCGGGCATGAGACCCTGGCGTTCGACGCAGCAACTTGCTTGTTGTTGTAGTCCATGTTGTTGACTGCAGTCTGCGCCTGTTGCAAACTAGGGCGCTTATAAGCGAGAAGGTGCGGAAGGCGACACCTCCAATTCTGGACGTCGCCGCAAAATGTCTGCCAAGCCTGGGGCAAGGAGACACCGCACCACGCCAGCCAGCAGCAACACCAGGCTCATAGCCACACGTGCTTGCATCATCACGTCGCCCAGACGCTTCCAAAGTCCGCTCCTGCCGTGGCAAACACCAAGCAAGTCGTCAAGTGTCAGGTCCACCTCCATGCAACCCTCATCCAAGGTGGGCCACACCACGGGCCATCGGCGACCGACCACCACACATCCATGACAGCTTTGCCCGATCAATGTCTTGACGAACATCGGCATGCCACCGTCTTGCTTTGGTGCCTCTGGGCGTGTCCTTCCCGTACATGGGCGACTTAACCGGGCACTGGGGCTACCACCTATCGGACGGGGGTTTCAGGGTTTACGTAGGATGTTTAGGATGTTTAGGATGTTTAGGATGTTTAGGATGCCCCCCGCCCTCCCCCTCCCCTCTGTTCGACGAGCCTGACGGTTGGTCCTTATGTCGGCTCAGCATCCTTTGACAGGGTTTCGTCGAAGCGCACGTGCGCATGAAAATGACAGTCTATTATTCAGCAGTGGCAGAGGCGCGATGCCCATCACGAGTGGGGAGCGCCGGAGCCTCGCATGATGCGTGCATATGCTTTCCTATGCTTGCTTTAACCGTGCGCTACCTCGCTACATGCATTCCACGATGTGAACTAGTACTGGTACCGACTCGAGATACCTTAGAAATCCTTAGAATGCTTTTGCCTCGACGAAGGCAGCAACCTCATTCTTTGGGGAACTGGTGACGGCGGGAGAGCGGAAGTCTCAGAACTTTGCGTTCATGTCGTGGTACGTCGACCGGTCGGTAGCTCTTCATGCTCTTCGTGGTTTTTCAGACCAGATGCTCCGAGTGAGGTGCGGATCCGGCCAGCAACGCCAAAGCGCGGAGCGATGATGTGAAAAAGTGCGTGCCGTAATCTGCAGCTGACTGCCTTTGAGCAACTCGACGGCTTTCCCTGGTCCACCCACTTCTTCCACGGTCATTTGGCCGTAATCGAGCATGCGCGTAACATCGTCCAGATGAGCGACACAAGAGTAAGTAATTGCAGGCCCCTCTCGGACAAGAATCTTGTCGACTCGCGAGCGTCGAAGGCAGTCCTTATTAAGCAAGAGATCAGTTTGCAAACGCTTGCGGATTGCCCTTGCGCTGCAGGCCCGAACATATGTTGGCAACAAGGTATCGTCGATGTCATACGTGTGTTACGCAAAAGGGTTCTGCAATGTTCTGCAGCATGTTGCAGCAATGCGGCAACGGTGATCTTGGGCGGCAGTGTGTTACAGTTATAGTGTGTTGCAGGCTGACCGACGGCCCCGTGCTGCATCGTGGTCTGATCCTTTCCAAGAGGGCACCGACTGAGATCCCTGTGCTAACAAAGTTGCACTTCCACGAGGTGTGGGCAGCGTCTCTCGGCAAGGACTGTCAAAGGCAGCCATGGTCACTGCACGTTCTCTTCACTCGGATTTCCAGGACAGCTGACAACTTGGCGCCGCAATGAAGGCCTGTTGTGGGAGTTGCGGCGCTCGCCAGGGCAGCGCCCAGGCATGCAAAGCCCACGGCCCCTCGCCGTGAAACCATCGTTTGTGCCATGTCCGGCAGTGAGCACAGTCTTTGTACGTTTGTCTTTGTGAACGAAATGCTATCTTGTGCCTTTATGCATGTAAACATCGTAATTATTCTTAATGAATGTATCCATGCATACCGCCGAGGTCCGACTAGCCAGACACCATGCTATGGACTTAAGAACACGAATGAACATCTTTGCAGTCTGAATCAATCTGATGTGTTTTGTTTTCTGAGGCTGTGTGGCACCAGAATGCACCAGAATTGAGGGAGTACCTCTAAAATAGGAGCCGAAGAAAGAAAAGAGCTTAACTCATCCGAGCGTGCCCCCATTTCTGTTTCCGGGAAGATTTTGGGTTTCGGTAGCCGGGTCATTTTTATTGCGTCAGCCCACGACAGCCGCTGATTTGGCGGATGGCATCACCCGTCCTTCGGAAGTACGCGAGTACAGTGCGAGTACGAGCTTTTTGTCCAAGCCCCATTGGCTGAATCGCGTGGATGCCAGACGCACTCGACGAGGGACGAGTGGAAGTTTGCACGTCTCGCCTACGTTCTGCGAACTCACGAATTTCCGCAGTCATGATGGGGGAGGCATGCGGAGGATGGGCCCATCCTGGGAACAGGATGCGCCTGAAGTACTTGCATTACTTCCCCCCTTCGCTGGTTCGGACGCCAGACCTGACCGACGGGTAGAGAAATATGTCTGCGTGCTCTTCAGAAAGCGGATTGTCCTAATCTTCCAGTCGCTATGAGCTTTCTTTCGAGTTCGACCTGTCAACGACTAGTGGTGGTGCGGGTGGCGGCAGTTTCGTCACAGCACACGGCAGGAACTTAACGAATTGATCTGTTAGTGAGTCATACTTTCTTGCATTAATAATCAGTTACTAGGCGAAACATAAGGAACTGTGGAGACCTGGGGGGAAATGTTTGAGCTGGCATGCCGTCCAGAGATATCTTTTGAGGGATGCTTGTTGTTCCCGGTAGCGTGCGGAGACATCTTATTTCGTTTTGATCGTGAGCAACTGAGGTGGTTGCAAATTGCATGCCTTATGATGTGACGAAGATGCCGCTGGTATCAGATCTGGCGACGCATTGAGAACGGCCAAGTTTATGCATGCCGTATGCACGGTCAAAGAGGCCAGGTGCTCATGGCAGAAATTATCTTTCAAGGCGCAGAGTAGATTTGCTGATAGACAACATGTTAGCGTGTGGACTGCTTCATGAGGAGGCGGAGTCCGTAATTCGAGCTTTAATCGTGTATAGTCGTTGTGAGCTAAGCTTGCGGCAGCCCTGCAAGCTTCTCCTCACAACCCCGAGCCAGCATGCTCACGCATGCGCGCGCGCACTCTCACACGCATTCACAAGATGCATGAAGTCATGTCATGGGTTCACTCACTCGGTTGGAAGGGCTCACACTTTGCCAAGCGTACGCCACGGTGAGGGGTCCTTGCCAAATTCATAATTTGTGAAAGTGCAGGCGAGTACGAATTGTTGACCATTTTTCTTTCCATCTTATTTTGTTGGATGTGCAATCGTCTGCAGCCTGCAGTTTACTTGAGCCAGTGCGCTTGCACTTTCACTTTTCAATTAAGTTAGACCTGGAGGGGCGACAAGCTCCTTCGACATGTGCTGCAGCAATTCAATCTTACTTTCTCCTCTTGGCAATGCCATGTGGAGAATGGATCTAACTCGTTTGTTAATCCAGGACCTGTCGCCTTGCTGAACTTCCAGGGGCTGTGGCGAAGCAGCGCCAGCAGGCAGGTCACCACCTCGTGAATCAAGAGTGAGGCAACACAAGACGATCTGCATGAGTGACTGCCACTCATCGCTCTCATTCACCACCCATGAACGGTCCTTTTCTTCTACACGTTCACACGGTGGGTTGTAAGCAGAGAATTTCTGTGGCTGTTGTGTGCATGTGTGTGTGTGTGTTGTATACGCACATTAACAGAATCAGTAGGGATACTGTACATGTACGAGTGCTTAAAAGTGGCCCGAGCACGGATTCACACCAAAATGAGCAGGTTCGCCAGCGGTCAAGGTCTAGGTTCAGCAACAAGCACTGCTGCTACTGCTACTACTGCTACTGCTGCTACTACTGTTACTACTGCTACTACTGCTACTACTGCTACTACTGCTACTACTGCACCTACTGCTACTACTGCTACTACTGCTACTACTGCTACTACTGCTACTACTGCTACTACTGCTACTACTGCTACTACTGCTACTACTGCTACTACTGCTACTACTGCTGCTTGCTACTGCTGCTGCTGCTCCTGCTACTGCTACTGCTAGTGCTATTGCGAGTGCGAGTGCGAGTTGGAGTGCGAGTGCGAGTGCGAGTCCGAGTGCGAGTGCGAGTGCGAGTGCGAGTGCGAGTGCTAGTGCTGCTGCTGCTGCTGCTGCTGCTGCTGCTGCTGCTGCTGCTGATACAGATCATGCCCCGGCCCCTGCAGCCTGCAGGCATTAGCAAATACTAGCAACAGTCGAGTTGTGCTTGACGTGATGCGCCCATTTCGGTTCAGCGCAGCTTCGCAGCGGTCGAGCGAGCAAATCACATCATCCGCAAAGTTGAGCCTTCTGCGCTTTACATGTAGGTTGTTCACCGTTCATTTTTTGAACAACAGGTTGTTTGTTTTGTGCAGGGACATGCCAATTTCGTGCAGCAAACTTGGCACTTCATGAGAAAATGGCAAAGGACAAACACTTGGAAGCGAAGTCCTAGGTCAAGCAACACATTCAGTTTTTCCCATTGATTTCTGTTTCCCCCTTGTCACGTTTCTTTTCGCACACCTCGCAGGAGCAGGGCCTTCCAATTAACTTCGGCAAGTTTTTGGCGCACACCGACAAGTTCATTCCTTGGAACTTATGCAATGTCAGGTTATGCGAGGCAACCATGCAGGGATATGTCTCAATTTCTAAGGGTGGTGCGCGATCGCGGCTTCAAGAGGTTGAAGCGATGGCTGCTGAAACATCCGCAGTTGGAAAGGTCGCTTTGTTGCATGTGTTTGCGCTTTTCGTGAGCGAGAGCCGCATGCGCCTGTCAGGCTGGAGTACATGAAGGTATGGAAGGGCTTGTACTTTGCCGTTTGGATGGCCGACAAAAGACCGGTCCAACAGGACAGCTTGAACACATGCGACCTGCTTATGTGGGTTTGAGGGTCGTGGGTTGAGCCATTGAGTCATTGAGTGGGTTCTTGAAGCACCACATGCGGAGATGCCAGGAGTCCAAGAGCCAAACTCAATGTTTTCAAATGTTACGGTACAGTAACTTAGAGATCTGAGAGTATCTGAGAGTCTGCCTCAACTCAGACGATTCAGGACTGTTCTTTCCATGGTTTTTGTTTGTTTCTGTTGTCTGCACGGCCGAAGAAGATAGCAGAGGAACTTGCGGTGAACATCGCCTTGCTTCTGAATGATGTGCCACGAGAGAAGTGGGAGCCTGAGAGATCCCAGCCTGGAGCGCCATGAGCAGAATGCACCACACATTGGTCACCTTCGGTATATGCTTTCATATAACACAGTGGCTCGATGCGCCGAAGAGAGATTCTTCTTCAATGAAAGAACGGCTCGTGGTCCAACGAGACCGCACCTGAAGAATTGTTCTTGGATCGGGTCGCTCCGATCTTCAAGAAAGGGATTTTGATGTTGCCTCCAATCATAGACCAAAATCATACCCAGTATCCACAAGGCGTGTATGATGATGATCAGGTCCAGAATGCAGCATTCGGTCGAGCACCGTTTAACAAGGATTCAGTATACTTTCCGACCGAGCAAGTCCACTTCCTGCAGGACTTTGCGGAGTCGAAAGCTGCCAAACAAACCATCGCACTACTCGATTGGGAGAAGGCTTTCGATGAGATTCAACATGATGAGCTATTGGTTGCTTTGTGCAGACTAGGTTCTGGCCAGCATTACATAGATATTGCGGATTGCTATCGAAAGCCGACATTCCTTGTGAAGGATGATGCCGGGACTTCAACAGAAAAGCAACAAAGAAGCGACGTACGACTCGGCATGCGGTTGAGCCCTGTCTTGTTCAAACTTAGAAATGTCGGGCACGGAGTATGACATTCAGTCTTGTATCAGGAGATTCGTAATCAACAATAGAGTTCCTGGTTTAGATTTTGACATGGTTTTGTTTTTATGCTGATGACGCTTTTGTGTTTTCCCAAGCAACAGGGGTCTCAACGAACTGGTACGCCTCACCAAAAGGATTTCACAACAGTTTGAACAGAGACGAGTGTGCGCAATACCAATGAGTGCGCCAGACATTTTCAGAATTGAGGGGCATTCGCAAGATCTTAAACAGAGCTCTGACTTTTGAAGATTGTGCAAATACGAACAAGAGCTTCTCAAAGAAGCAACTGCGACAGCATCTCCAAGCACGGGGACGACCGACGTGTATTCAGTTCCGTCATCTACGACGTGCTTGCTGCTAGCTGCAGACGTTTCGGTCATATACTTCATTGTATCAATTCAGATCCATTAAGACAGGTGTCGTTTTGACCCAACATTGCCACTAGAGTTGATGGTGGCAAAAGTGAGGTGGGAAGCACAGGAATTGGATACACGACACATCACCACACGAACGAGTTTGGGAAGAGATGCTTGGAATATTATTGTATGAAGAAACTCGGTACAGGATAAACTCATTCATAGCACAACTACGCAGACAGTTCAAGGCGTCTGTTAGAGGGTAAACCTCCTTTTGCTGTGCCCACGCCGTGTTTTGAAGTTGACGTACGGTCACTTTTCACGGTGTGGCTTCGGAAAGTGGAACTCCACGTGCTCGATATGCTTTGGTTATCTTTGGTTGTAAGGCGGACACTTTGGATCGACACGTTCTGGGAGACGATGCGAGTCTGGGCCTCGATGGCAGGAAGCAGAATCCAGGGGAGTAGGTCGTGTACGATGTGTACGCTAATATACGGCGCTACACGGCAATCTCGCCAGTCTCCAGCCCGTCAGATCAAGGCATAGCTAAGACCTGCTCTTCCTTCAACGCAAGTTTTCTCTGGAAGCAGCCAATGCATGGTTCTAGGACTCTTGGGAGAAGCTGGACGTTCATCGTGCTGCAATCCCAGTTTCGAGTCGTCGAAGGGCTGAGCATCTCAGCACTCAGCAGTTCTAGCCGAACATGACGTATGCCCACAGCGTCTTCCTCTTCCTCCGAATGCTGTTCGATGCGATGTTTTCGCTCTGACACAGCACATGGCTCAAGGCCCACTAAAACTTGATTGCATGACCTTGCAATTTCCTGCATGCTACAGTTTTGTAGTGTCAGGGACTAGGTGACTAGGTGCTACGCAACGTTGAGGCTTCACCTTTCTAGCTTTCTAGAGTGAGAATGTGTGACGGCTATGGATGCGCTGTCTCCACCTCCATTAGATCGCACACCGTCCGCTCACAGCAGGCGCGAGGGTTGTATAGATTAGAGCCAGGTCGGCGACGGCTTCTTTGCACGTTTGCACTGTACATGTCTTCCGAGAATGTCGCTAGGTGACTCTTGGTGTCTGCCCATTCGCACCTGGCACTTCCATTGCCAACATGGCTTAGCTTCGAAAGCGGGTGAGATGCTGGTGAGTTGTATGGAGGTACACCACGGCCGCAGCCTGGTGCTTCGAACGACAGTTCGACGGACAGAGCCTCACGTTCTCAGAGCGGCCAGCTTAGGACCACAGCATGGGTGGCAGCGAAAATTTAGGTCAGGAACTTCGGCCGCCGGTCCGAGTCGTCGTTTTCGATTGCCAGGGCCTCAAACAAGCTGCACCAAAGCGCACAAAGAACGCAGATGCTTGCCGCATCATGGTTGCAAACCTTACACCGCTCGGATTGCGGGTGCGTCTGCAGACTCTAGAGACTCTAGTGGCTCTAGATCAGCCTGAATGTGCGCAATGTACATTTGCGGGGACTTGATGATGAAAGAGCGCAGCGACGAAGCAGAGGGGTGGAGATGTGGGGAGTCAGTGCCTGCTTGAGTAAGCCAAGGTGACGAGACACTCACGCTCTCTACATTTCTTCCGGATGACGCTGCGCTTCGCACACGCCTGGACTGGGCGTCGCCGTGGGGGCCCAGATCTACAGCCGCTATAGTTCCAGTGAAAGCTTGCATTCAGCTTGCATTCAGCTTGCATTCAGTTTGCATTCAGCTTGTAGCAGTCCGCGCTTGTACAAAAGACGTGCGATGTCGTACCCTCGACGTACACACAGGTGGGAGGAGTACATTGCCACAGTGAACTTCGAGTCTCCTTTTACAAGTCCAGGCGTCTTGGCATGAATTGAGTCTGGTTGCATTGCATCACCCTTCACTCTTGCATCTCTTGCTTCTGTGTGCACAAGGCCGTCTGGCTTTGCTTCGCGAGATGCTCGAAGACCTGCGGAGAGGCGAAGCAAATGAATGATCACAAAAGATTCCAAGAACGCACATCATGGAAGAGTGCAAGACGCATGGTCGTGTGAGGAACGCACAAGCTGCCTGGTCGGATGTTGGCGGTGCTGACTCGAAACACCAATGGGCCGATTGCTTGCTTGAATCTGTTGAGGCCGGAAGCAGCCAGGAGAGTGTTGGTCATCTGCTGCGCGCGCGTGTGTCTCTAGCAATAGTCTAAAAACATTGAAATCTGGAAGTTGCCAAGATCACCAAGCCTGCTCGGCCTTTTCCCAGCCGACAGCTTTTGTGCAGCGCTTGTGCAGGGCGGCCAAGCTCGCAGATCTTTTCGATGCGATTTGGTGCATGTCCCACGTACCTGGCATTCTTGCCGGCATTTATCGCATGCAGGCCAGTGCAGGGCAGTTTTTGAGAGGGTAGTCAGAGTGCGGCGAGTGCTTTATCTGTTTCTGAGCAGTTTTGTCGTTCAAAGTCATTGACTCGTTGAAATGGAGACTTGTGTGGTTTTGCTGCCGTGAAAGCGAGCAGGCCCATCATCAGAACATCACATCGGATGCTGCAGTAATTTCTGTCCGTGTGTATGGGTGATGAAACCATGCTCCCTTGCAGTCTGGCCGTCAAAAGCGCCGATAGCCGCAAGGGGGTTGGCAGACAGTTTGCAGCCGGCTCTGTATTACTACCACGCAACACGGGTCAACTCCAGCATGTCGAAACAGATCTGGGAAAGATCACTTTGCAAGCCTGCCACCCGCATCCCCCCTAGCAGCGGCAACGTGCCGGAAAGGGTGGCATAAGGGCAAAACGTGCTGCCGGCAGGCGGTCTTGCCTTGGATCCCTTTGCGGGTACTGGGCATCAGAGCAGCCCATCAGAGCCTGTGGTGCTCTCCACTCTCAGTTCACACCTGGCAAAGAAGCAAAGATCACCTGCTGCGATGCTTTGCGCTTTAACGCTTCAACCTCACCTACTTCGGGAGAAGCTGAGGCCTCGCCCAAATGCACTTACTCACGCGCCCCTTTTGCTGGCGAGAGGGTATCGCGTGGATAACCCGTGTCCAACAAAACTTGTTGATGTTCATGGTACGCCCTCGGCTAAGTATGCCTTGATCATACCGGTATGTCGCGCCTGCAGGAGAACGAAGCTTCCTCACGGTTTCAATGTTGCCAAGTGCTGTAACTCGTGGAAGCAACAGCAAAAGCTGCAGGCAGACAAAGCTGCTTTCGCGGGAGAGCCTCCGACTGCAGAACAGGCAAGATGGGCGTGGGGATTTGAGACCGCTTGAGATCATTTAAAACATGTCAATCAGAAGGCAGGCCACGCCCAGCGCCTACAACCCATAGTGTCCCATCGCCGGCATAGCCGAGCCGTAAACCCTCAAATCGAATTATGATGGTTTCGAATTCATGTTTTGTGTGGTGACTGCACGGTAAGGAATGGATCAGTTTCGAGCCACCGTTTTCCTCACTCCCTGATCACAAGGCTGGTAATCACATGCTTGTGAGCTGCCGAGTAGTTCATGTAGTGGTGGGCTTTGACATGTCCATGTCGACCATGTTGACAGCTCAGGCACATGTGGTGCACAGTGTTGCGGATCAGCCAGCTGCGTGGTTTCCCCAGATGGGCGGCTCGTGCGCATCACTTCTGCCACAGACGCTGAGGCCGGTGCATGTGCGGTGTTTTTCCCGAGTGCGTAGCAGAAGGGTTCCCATTTGAAGAGTTTGGGGTTTGGGGCAAGCGGCGCCTTTGGGATCCTCGACTTCCTTCGCGTTCCAAAAGTGGTGATGGTTACAGGGATGGGATGGGGACCTTAAATTGCTGGTCGCGATCCTGGTCACTGCCGTCACTTGGACCCTCCCATCTTCTTCGTTTTCCAAAAGTGCCGACAGCTTCAGGACCGTTGCATCTTCATCGCATCCGAAAAAGTGCCGACCGATGTCGACAGTCACAGCCATGGGGGGCCCTTGGACACGCCCTTGGGGTCGCCATCCTCGCTGCTGTTGTTGCTTTTGTGCCGTTCGGTAACCTTTCCATGTGTCGTGCAATTTGCATCGTGTCTTCGTGTCGTGTCTTCGTGTCTTCGAACCGTTTCCTCGTCTCTTCCTCGTGCCATCGTATCGCCTTTTCGTTGTATTGTGTTTTTGCCCCTCGGCGCGGTGCCTTTGTGGCTTCACGCTCTCGCCCAATCTTTTGCTTGTGAGCCATCCTGTTTGTCGGTTCCTTCTGAAACATCGGGGAGCGAGTCTTCGTGCCATGTCTTCGGTGGCGTCCTGGCGTCTTCGTGTCGAGGCCTGGCGTCGGGTGTTTGTGGCATGCCTTCGTGTCGTGTTTTCGAGTAATGTCCTCGTGTCTTTGAAGCTTCGGCTTTCTTAGTTTTTTGTGTCGTGCCGTGTTGTATCATGTCATTATATCATGTTTGAGCATCGTGTTGTCTTCTCGTGTCTCCGTCGCATCTACGGCAGAAAGTCGCCAAGATGCGACGTGTGTGTGCATTCGGGTTCGTGGCTGGGATCAGGTTTTGGACACTTTGCATCATGTTCGAGCGCATGAACAGCCAGACACTCCAAAACAACCGCATCTAGAGCTTTTGAACAACCACACATGCTGCAACTCACAGCGCCAAAGCAAGCGCGCTAAAAAAACGGCTTGCCAACTACGTTATGAAGCAAAAGCACCTCCGCTGAGCCTCAGAGGTTTATTGGCTCAACTTGGTTCACGTGCATCTCATGTGCTTTTCATGTGCCCTGTCGAGGCCAGAGGAGATCATGCTCGTCGATGATGTGCGGACAAACTTCCAATGTGGGGGCAGCGATCCCAAGAAGGTGTATCGCTGTTGCAAGGTTGCGCGCTACTTGACTGCTTGAGCCCCGATTGAGCAGGGGTTGAACTGTAGATTGACGTTCAAGAGAGCTAGGCCCAGCTAGGCCGCTAGGCCGCTAGGCAGCCGGTCTAGTCCAGGGCCGTGGCATGCACAGGCTATGATGCGCCCAATTTTCGAGACATGGGACTTGTTCGCGATATGGGTGGGATCGGTGCTCACAACGAGGCACGTGAAGCATGAAAACCTGCAGTACACAAAGGTGATGTCAGTGATGTCCCATGCCGCACATGAAAATCGCACTTTGCATCAATCGGTCATGCATTGTGGCGTTTCAGTTTGTTAAACGCTTGCCGCGCGCCGCCTCGACAGCCGGGCTGGCGGGGGGACCAGGGGGGGTCTCAGGCGGCTGCGGGGTTCCAGGCAGGGTCCCTGGAAAGGGGGTGTTCAGGGGGTCTTGGTGTTTTTGTGGCCCACAGCTTGGAACTTCCGCGGCATCGGATTATTGGTTCGTCGAAGCGGTTTGGGCAGGTCCCACAGGGCGGGGGGCGGGGGTGTGCGGAAATTTTTGTTTTGGTCCGCTCATTCTAGATGCCGCTCGGCTGGAAACCGAGAGGTTCTCATATGGACATTCAATAGCATGTCACAAATGGGTCCAAAGACTTCTGGGACCATATCCGCATATATCCGCATCATGCAGTACACGACCAAGCTTGAGCCACGAGCCCGCGCAAACAGGAGGATTACAAGACGGTGGTGGATTTCGCCAAGCGGCCTTGGGCATACAAAGTTGACTGGCGGGTGCATTGCATTGAGAAGCCGTTCGACAGTGCACACCTTCAGCCTCCTGTCCGGCTGGTCATCTTCGAT